ATATACATATTAAAATGCAATAAGACAAGGAACCCATCAGGGCTCAAAATTAAAGGTGGTCCAATGATCACTGATCATTAAAATGCAGACTGGTACAACTTTAGGATATTTTTAATAAAAGCGCTTTAATAAAATAAACTCGCAAGCATATTGTGGTCCAAATGACCCAAGTACAGTTTTATTTCTTGTGTATTTTGATTCTTGACTTCAAGTAATTGTAAGGCCATGCTGATTTTATTATATAGATTGGATGACATCCTCTGGGCATCCCTAAACTGATGCGAGTGTGTAAAAACAAAGGTGCCTTTATTACCTAATAAGCTAAGTGGTCTGGAAGGTTGAAGAAAAGACTGAGCGTGTGACAATAACAAACAAACATTACACAATAAACAATCATTTCACAGCTTTATCTATTTTAAGTACCCTTTTACCACAACTTCTAGAAAAGTCCACTTGTGTCGAGACTAATGATTGGCCTTAACCCCAATCTGGTCAAATACTGGCTACATAAATTGTGTAACATGCTCCTTGCAACGTTACAAGGCCCCTACATATACAGCAGACAGAGCAATACTGTAAATTTTAAAATAATTGCTGTGTTTTTCCACCTTTTCCCCTGTAACATCTAACAACTAAATCATGCTAGGTGTCTTGAATGTGTGTTTTGTATTTCTACTGTTACTGTAATATGGAATTGTTTTCACCACAAAACAATACCTTCTAATCTCCCCCTTTCCGTGAAAGAAAACCAAAGCTAAACTGCACTTACAGTACAGTACAGAGCCATTTGATGCTTCAGTGACACAGATAATATAATTACTGCAGCTCCATTGTTGCACCATACTGGTTTTTCTGCAATGATATATGTTCCTACCCTTTTACAGCGTGTGAAATAGCCTGAGTTCCGCAATCTCTGAACAAAAGTGAGACTTTTCATTATGTAAAATAGGTTGAGTTTTGTGATCTCATTTTCTGTGTTCAATGTTGCAAAAATTATATTAAAGAGCAGTTTTGCACCATACAAAAATTGAACTAATGTGAGACTTTTCTTCTTTGTTGTGCATGATCATTAAGACTTAAATTCACTTCCCAATTTAAACAGATGAGTTCACGCTTTCAAAGCAGTATTCAGGAACCATATTATTACCAACCAATTACACTCTTTTTACCCTGTAGGTTACAATTACAAGGATTCAGCCAAAGTGGGAAGTACTGTTGAGTAGGAATCTGGTACACTTTTTCCAAGTCAATGAATCATATACTAGTAGCTTGTTTCAATGGTGTTGTTTCCAGTGTGTCCACTGAAGCGTTTGCTTCTGTTTATGTTATTTCCACTCTCAACTCTCTTCTGTATCTGCATCAGTGTAGCCAGTATCACCGTCAACACACCAGCTTCGCAGGCACGAGGCGCTGGCTACGTTACACCGATTTACTTGTTACACCTAGCCCTTGAACATCTAACTTGTGCAATTCTACCCTCTGCCTTCCTAAACAATTCTAGATCTAGGAGCTTCATGGAATTGTGACACTGAAGGAAATACAAGAAAATAACTATAAAAAGTGCCAGAGAAACACAACAATATGTGTACACTTGCACTACGACCTATTGATATGTTTTTATATACAATTGTATGTGCAAATCAGGACACCAAAATGGCGGTCAGCACCTGTCTTCTTCATTGATGATGTGCAAAATGATCAGTGAAAAACATTCTTCATGCTTTTCACATACAATCTGTATGAGTATCAGTTCCATCTTTATTCAATATCATTTTAACCATTAATACTTGGTCAACTAACTAGCAATATGAAGTGAACTTGAACTTAACAGAACCAAACTTAACTAGCTGCAGCTGATGTTAACTTGCTTCACTTGTTGCTTGTGTAGAAAATGTTGGTGTAGCTCTGGTACCTGTATGCTTCATTGTTATGGAAGTGAGTAAAAAAAAAAACACTAGATATATGCTTAACTTTTGAAATAAAATCTGTTCCATCTCTTTTTATTCAATTTCATCTTAACCATTAATATTTGGTCAATTGACTAGCTATCTAAAGTCAATTTGAACTCAACAGAACCGAACTGAACTAGTTGTAGCTGGTGTTAACTTGCTTGTTGTTTCTGTGACATCTCCTCTAACGGAAGATACCAATCCTTTGGAGGGGTGACTCTGCGAGGCCACACGGGGTTGACGTAATATTTCTGCTGCAGATGCCTGTTCTCAACCTTTATCAGTTCTTGCTGTGGGAGATACAAAAGCACTGCTGTCATTTTCATGAAAGAAGAACAAAACTAGAGAGTTAACATTTGCAAAGCAAATGCATAGTTGCATAGGGTTGCCTTCACATATGGTCTTATTCATATATTCTTACTCATTCATATACATGGTGACAGGAGTCTAAATCCCTCCTGCTATAAAATTGCAACGTGATGTAACCCAACACTAGTTACCATGGTGACAGTTGTCTGGTTCAGGTCATTGACCTTATTTGTTTGGAAAAGAATAAGAAACAGGGCAAATACAATTTGTTTTCCTTACGTAAACATAACAACAAATGTACATTGTAGGTGTGTTGAGGTATCCAATACACAAAGTTTTTTTGGAGTGTTTTCAGTATACAGTTAAAATAATTTTGTAGTTAAGTAATACAAGGGAGACATATTTAGGGAGTTATGAATTCACTGTGAAAACATAAAAATAACACTGCTGCAAAAGTTGAAAGATCTCCAGTATTCTAAATAAGTATCTCTGTTCACCTTTGCTTCTTCTGATTTGGTTTTCATCCATGCTGAACAAGCCTCATAGTCCTTTTTCCACTGAGCACACTCCGGCTTTTCTCCATACACATAGTAGGTGTGGAACCTGTGTCCTATACCTGAAACATGGAGAAAGATATAATACATACTTAGGGCTGCAAAGTTCGGTAGATCACTGTAGAAATCATCTAGGCAAAGGTTCATAATACCGAAACCTTAATGTACATAGTAGATAGTAGATAGTAGATTCTTTCAGCCAGGTAGGTATCCATCCAGTTTAGGCTGCTCGTTGCTCTACCGGACTGTCATTCCCGGCCTATGCGGGCAATCCAGGGCCGTGTGATTGTACATAATTGGATGACTCTCCATGTATTTATCAAGTCTGTTCTTGAAGGCATTTACCGAGGGTGCAGAGACCACTTCTTCAGGAAGACTGTTCCACCAGTTGGCCATTCTGCTTGTAAAGAATAATGCCCTTGTATTCCCCTTGAAGGTCTTCCTTGTTATTCTCAAGCTATGACCTCTTGTCCTTGAATCTGCTTTTTGTTGGAACAGGTTCTGTGTGTCAAACAGACCATGCATGTATTTGTACGTGTTGATTAGGTCTCCCCTAATTCTCCTGTAGACCAATGTTGGGAGTTTCAGAGTTCTGAGTCTATCCTCGTAAGAAAGGTTGCTCAACCCCGGAACTCTTTTTGTGGCCCTTTTTTGGACTTTCTCTAATTCAAGCATCAGATTCTGTCTGTACGGAGACCAAACAGAGGCTCCATATTCTAAATGTGGCCTAATCAGGGCTTTAAAAAGCAGGAGAAATACTTCTTGATCGATAAACTGAAATGTTCTCCACAGTAGTCCTATTAACTGGTTTGCCTTGTTTGCAATTGTGTGTATACATGTATTGTTATTGTACCTAGATAGAGTTACATGTACACTCTAGAGTTATACTAGTACATGTATTACTAAAACATGTTGATGCTACCACAAAGATTAAAATTTAGCATCTCAGGCTAACATAAAAACTAAAATAAAAGTCAACATTCAAACCTTGACTTTGTCCAGACTTACTTGTGCAGTCTGTGTACTCCTGCTTGTAGTAGTCGCAAGGGTAATGTGGCTGTAATGTCAAAACATAACAAAAAGTAAATTGCTGAAAAGAAGTATAATATAAGTTTATAACATTACCCCAAAGTTACAAATAAATTATTTCTATTGAATCTCCTTTCTCGTGATAGAAACTTTTTTCTTTCAATTAATTACATCCTCGAAGTTTTCAATTCTTTGTTACTCCGAACCTTTCTAAAGTAGTAGTATGTGCCATGGTGCAGGCCTTTTTGGAGAACATGTTGTTCGCCCCCCTCCCCACATCGACTTACTTGGCGCAACTTTTGCTTGGTTCTAGAGCAAAATATATAATACTACTAACCTACTACGATGAAAGCATAATGTATGTGATACATGTATGGTCTCAATGTACCATTGAATGTTACCGTAATTATGCAGAACGAAAAAGAATAAAATTTGACATCACCTTCCAAAATTGTTCACTGGGGGCCGCCATGTTGACAGATTGGGCGACTCCAAAATTACTTCACATAGGAGGAGGTGTGAAACATAAGACATGCCGATTTGTAAAAAAAATATGTTTGATAGAAAAATAATTGAAAAAAAAACATTTTGTAATTTTGGACATGATATTCAGTGTATTATTTTTCAATTCTAATCCTGTCTCCCGGTTTTATCTAAAATCTAACGTACCCCTACTGCATGAATGATTTCGTCCTGATTTGACCTCTGACCGAACTTTAAAATTTCTATATTTCCACCATTTCTGTCATTTATAGGTTAAGTGAGAATATAAGGAAGGCCTGAGTAGCAATATGATTCGGTTTTTATAGGACAGTTTTTATTTTCCATAAAATTAGACGACCAAAACAAGACGCTTGGCCTAGCATGTTTGGGACGCTATCATCCGAAATAATCTTACGCCGTGTAAGCGTCCCAATATCCTTCCGCGACATAAGCAATAAAATAACAATTTTGCAAAATTTTACACTATCGTGTATACGTATACTGACATTAGGAATCTATATAGTTTCCTTATTTCAGGGAACTATGTGATATCTGACGTTAAATTTGTATTTGCTTGCCTTTTATGCCTGAGAACTACTTTCTTGCAGTGCAGTGATACGCCCCAATTTAAACTGTGTATTTAGGCGGGAAGCGTAGGACGCCATTTTGTTGGTGTGTTTTGATGAGGAATAATTACCCCGGAGATTTTGCTGTTTTGCAGAAATAAACGGGAAAGCAGGAACATCTTACCGATTCTGAGTTCTTCTTGGAACTTTTCAGAAGATATTCTGAGGTGAGTTTTCGTTCAAACGTCATTTTATGGTGTAAAATTAGGCAGAATCCCGCCTAGATTTGGGCGGGATTTTCGCGTAGACGAGTGAAAACCTAAAGCGTAGGATAGCTGTGGAAAAATCGATCACGCAAACATAATCGACCATTTCTTACCATAAATAATGCATTTTGATGCAATCGGTTTCCTCAATATCTTTTAGAAAATGATTTTCATGCTATGTACACTGTCTTAAGTTTCCAAACAAGCTCAGGTTATAACAAGTAGCGATAATTTGCACGATTTGTAGCGCAAAGAAAGCGGCATCAAACAACAGTGTAAATCTGCTTGGTTGTTTCGTTTTAACGGAGATCAAGGCACCGATTCCAGTCTGCTATTTTATTAGGGTACAGGTAAGTTAGCTGGTAAAATGTGTTCTTTGCTTCTGTGGTCGGATCTTCCTTTGAAAATCAGACGTTTTTAAATTTTATTCATCTCAGCTATACACCAATCCGTATGGGGGAGGGGGGCGTGTTGTCTGGATGTTGTTGTACTATAAATAGGTATGCTTCTATCTACAATGCATAAATTTATGGATAAGAGACAACTGGCTGAAAATAGTGAACGTATTCCAAGGGATGTGTATTGGATCTACTATAGCAGACAAGAAATGTTCTATGATATATCTCTAAATTTTATACATCCTTCTTGTACTGTTGTACATGACTTTGTCATTATTTGTAAATATTGCTCCTCAAATGCAGTGGAAGAGGAAATTCATTTCATCTCTAACTGTCCATTTTATGACGACATCAGAAAACAATTATTTAGCACCGTGTCCAAAATACTCCCTTACTTCCCCACCGTTCCCTACCACAAAAAAACATTTTTACTACTAAAATCAAAGAACCCACATATTATAGAAGAAGTGGGTAAATTCGTCTTCCACTGCCTAAAAAGAAGAAGTCAAACCCAGTAAATCTAGTACCATGCATGTTGCAGAATATAGTATAATGCTAGACGTAGATATAGTCTCACATACCACTGTATTTTCTTTCTTATGTTGTTTGTAACTGCAATTAGCCCTCGGGCATGTATTTGCAATAAACTTTCAATTATTGTTCATGATCAGACAGGATATTCCACAGACAACTTGCTGGTGGAAGAGTAAAATGTACAAGTATTCTCCAAAAAGCTTATTCAAATCATAGGAAAACAAATGATAGGAGACAATAAGTCTATGTGCAAATCCCTCTTCGACACCTTGTACAACATGGCACAGCCACATTGCATTGTCTTGTAAATTTGTCATCTTTCCACTACCCTGTACCAAAGAAAACATATACAAATTTAGCTTGCAAGAACTGTTGCAATCAAATACAAAGGTACCTGTTATCCACCTTGTATGACCCTGAATGAGTCCCTGATAATACTTTTTTGTATATATCTAGACCTTTCCTTTACAGCCTTAAACCAAACTGGCTATGCATAACACATTACATACAGATTTTGGATAGGGTGAGTATAAAAAGATAAAGTAACTCACAGTGCCCTTCTTTCCTCTTGCAGTGAGGCACCACCATGTTTTATGCTCATTTCATCCTGAGCAAGAAGGGCCCATTGGCCAAGGTGTGGCTGGCTGCCCACTGGGACAAGAAGCTGACCAAGCAGCATGTGTTCGAGACCAGCATCGAAGGCAGTGTGGAGAGCATCTTGCATCCAAAGGTATTGTATTGAACTGCATGCATACTAGTAGTTTAAAGGGGTGTTGTCTCCAGAATCTGAAGTTTCTTGGTTTGAAAGAAAGCCTGATTTTCCCTCCTATTATTGAATCCCAGGAGTTGGATTAAAAGAATTTACAGTATTGTAGATATTTTTCAACCTAAGTTATAGGACTTATACATATACAATTTGCACCTGTACAACTATCCCAAACAGGCACTGCCACACATGATCGCTTGTCTAGATCTGAATGTTGGACATTGGGCCAAGTTGGGGAACAGAAACCCTGATTTACATCTTCAAGCATTCACTCATGTTCAAGACATAATGGCAAACCTTTGTTTTTATGATATGAAATATTAAACTTTGACAAAAATATGTAAGAATTATGTAAGAAGCATCTTACCAAGCTACAGTTTGTAATTAATGATATTTGTTCCCTCACAGGTGAAAATGGCCTTGCGAACGTCCGGCCATCTCTTGCTGGGAGTTGTGCGAATCCACAACCGCAAGGCGAAGTACCTTCTGGCTGACTGTAACGAAGCTTTTGTGAAGATCAAGATGGCATTCCGACCAGGCGTGGTGGACCTTCCCGAGGAAAACCGTGAAGCAGCCGTGGCGACCATCACACTTCCCGAGGTTTTCCACGACTTTGACACCACCGTTCCTGACTTGAAGTGAGTACAGACAGCTGTACTGTCACAGTGTGATACTCTCATTTAAATCCATGCATGGAGACATGCAACTTACCATCAGTTAAAGCACAACTCTCCTCCCTCCACCCAGGAGTAAAATGGGTTCCTAGCTTTGGTTGGGGAGGTGAACGGCAGTGCTAGGAGGGACATGGGCTCCGCCTGTAAAAACTGTGCCCTAGACACATTAGACTAACAACCTACCGTCCCTACAGCCTCAAAAAAGTATGTACCTTTACCATGACCTTTTTTTAAAAACTGTTCTGTTTTCTTGTGCAGTGACTTTGACATGCAGGCCTTCACCATGAACCAGAGTCGTGTGGAGGAGATCACCATGAGAGAGGACGTCGGGAACATCAACATGATGGAGACAGACGCCTTCGGTAGGAGAAAACTTTCACCAATATCAGATGCACAGTGTTACACTCACACACTCACAATCTGGTTTATCGTCTGCTGTTCCCCGTCTTCCGAGGGTTAGACATCAATCCACAGACAGAAATCACCAGTTCTTCCTTCAGAAATAAAAAAAAATTACAGACTAGAAAAATTAGATTTTGTTTCCTTATGTTAGACATGATAGAAACTCACGACATGTGTATTAGCATAGGTGCTCGAGACCAGCATAATTTTTTTGGTGTTCAATTTAGATTAAGTAGCTAACTCCAAGGAATTGATAGATAACACATGTATATGTTTTTGTCTTTAGGTGACCTTCCGTTTGACGACAAGGAAATGTTGCGAGACGCGAGCAACATGGACGAGACGCTGTACAACACGGCCGATGCCAGCAACCTCCTGCTGGACAGCGATCACAACAAGAAAGACGAGACAGTCGAGAAGCGCCACCCTGAGCTGAGATACGACGATCCCATCAAGGATGACTTTGGCGGGGCCCCTGGAGATGGTATCCTAGGTAAGTACTTGAGATCATTTTTTTTAAGTCCACAGGGACTCAATATGAGTGATTGCCATGATGTTGTGGCCAGGGAATGGAAGGCAAAAAGCGGGTGACATTTGGGTGATTTGCCTACTGCTCATATTTAGGAGGAGTGGAAAGTTTGCATCATAAATTTGTGGTGTTGAATGGCTGCTTGGCTAGGCCAGCGGACATAAAATTTAGACGTCACAGGTTCAATTTCTGGCATTTCTGACAAGGCGTTGTGTCCTTTGGAAAGGCCCTTTACATGACTTAATTCACACCACCCATGTGTAAAATTTGTACCTGATTCTGGTTGGGGAGTTAAAAAGGGGGTGGAAGGAGAGGGATGGGCTCTGCCTTCCAATACTTCGCCCTAGACACTGTGGATCAACAGCCAGTTTCTATATGCTCATTCTGTACAAAAAATTCACAGTAAGATCATAAGCAGAAAAGAGTTGCAACAGGTTTTGCTCTAGTGATATTTCTTATTGGCACCAGACATGTAGCAGGTTGATAACATTGTTTCATCTTCCATACCTTTTGAATTTTCTTGTATAGGTGCAGATTTCCTGGGTGCTACAGCAGGGGACTTGTTTGGGGAAGCCCCAGGACCAGCCGGTGACATCTCTATTGGACCTGAGATAGCTGCAACACCCATCCCTGAACAGGCTAATGGTAAGATTCAAGTTTAACTCATATTTCATGTTAGAATGAGGAAAGAGACTCTTTTTACACATTGAACCAAGTCTTTTATTCAGCCGACGTTTCAGTGACCGTCTGTCACCTTCATCAGGACAATTCTGACTGGTTCACATTACTCAGTGTCTTACCAACCTGATGAAACTATTCCCGGAGGTTCATGTTAGAATGTATTAGAAATAGTGCAGCAAGACTTCTAAAAGTGCCAAAGAATATAAATGAGTAAATGAATGGAGGTAGAAATGTTCACTGTCACGTTTGTTGATGTAAAATTGATATGCTAAACACATAATTAGGTTCAACCTGTGTTGGACCTAGCTTGAATACTAATATCGTATGGAGACAAGGATTCGAACCTAACAACACTAATCACTGAGGACTCCAGTCATTTAAAACAAGACTACACTGGCACCTTCTTTCCACCATCAGTACTACAGCTAGAACCTTGCAGTTGCTGTAAACCAATGATTAGCCAGGAGTGTTATTGTAATGTTACAACCCAAGCTATTGTTTACGTTAGCACATTATGGAAAAAAGACCACCCTTAATAAACCTGTATGAATTCCAGACAAGGAGCGTGCAGGTCCAAGCGGTGAGCTTCAGCCAGATCAGAATGCCACAGCTGTTGCCGACCAGACGACTCTGGTACCAAACGAACGGGAGGCGTTCGCTTTAGAGCCACTAGAAGTCACAGGTATGCTTTCCTTTGGTACTCAGCAGTTAAACATAGCTTTTATTTTTGTATTTTCATGTCCTTAGCTTCAGTAAGACTTAATTTTTCAAGGTTTAAATGAGACAGCTACAAAAATACAGTGCAAGTTTGTTAGTGACAATTTATTGAATCATACACTTTTATTTTGTAGTGCAAATGTACTACCAAATTTGTCCAGTGTGGCTTACCAAAATGGGTTATTTTCATTTGTTTAGGTCTTACGTTTTTTGTTTTGTGTTGTTTTTATTTATTTAATTATTTATTGCAGAATGCATAAGAAAGTGATTGGTTTCCATTTTTATTCAGGTCCAGTACATGTGCCAGTCATGGCAGGTAAAAAATGGTTTTCAGGCGGACTAACTGTAGAACTCTGAGTAGAGTGTGTGTGTGCAGTGCTTCTGTTTTTCACAACTCTTCACTTGAGTGTGATTTTATAGTAGAAAGGAAGAATTAAACTGTTACGCACGACTAAAGTTGAGTGTGTGATTTTCTTTAGACATGAGTGGTTGCATTTTTTTAATAATTAAAAGATTGAAGTGTTGCAGTGCCTGTAACTAACTCTGATCACCCCTTTTCAGGCTTGGGTTGTTTTTGTACATTTTCACTTTCAACATTTTTATGTAGATGTATAATGAAAAAACTGGAGATGGGGGCTTCAGGGGTCCGGAGGCATCCACCCCTGTGAAAATTTTGAAATCTTGACCTTGTGAAACACTATTCCCTGCCTTTTCCACTCTGATTTTTGAGTGTCAAAATTCAATTTACGGAAAAATGATACTGGCAAGAACACTAGATACATTGTTTCTGATGTGTAAGGAGACCTTGAATCCTATCATGTATTGTACCAACAGGCCTAGGTGTGAAAGAAATACAATATTGCAGAACACTGAAAAAAAAAGAGTATTTCTACCACCAACAGGTGTGAAAGAAACGCGAGTGCGTAAGAAGCGGAAGTTGATCGTGGACCCGGTGATCGAGCTGGCCAGCTCCGAGATCCGCGCCCAGCTCGAGGACACCTCCGACATCGTCACGACCCTTGACCTGGCCCCGCCCACCAAGAAGCTGATGCAGTGGAAGGAGATGGGGGGAGTGGACAAGCTGTTCACCATGCCCTGCCGCGCTGTGGGGGCTAAAGTTCTGCTAGCTGTAAGTTTGGGTCCCTTTTGTGTTGGGCTAAAGTACTGCTAGCTGTAAGTTTGGGTCCTTTTGTTAGTTAGACTAGGAGATGGGGGGAGTGGACAAGCTGTTCACCATGCCCTGCCGTGCCGTGGGGGCTTAAGTACTGCTAGCTGTGAGTTTGGGGTACACTTGTCAGTTTGACTAGATATCATTGAGGGTGGAGAGCTTTGCCACCTAACTGTAAGTTCGTGGAAGGAGATGGGGGGAGTGGACAAGCTGTTCACCATGCCCTGCTGCGCAGTGGGGGCTAAAGTTCTGCTAGCTGTAAGTTTGGGTCCCTTTTGTGCTGAAGAAGCACCCCAAAGAACAATTCGACTGCTGCATATGTTTCAAGATTGAATTAGTTATCTGTTCGCACCACAAGAGATCAGATGTTCACACCACAAGAAATGTGTGAAGAATTGTTGAAACTTTCTGTATTTTTTAGAATGAATAGAAATCTAGCTAAGTTATCCTGCTCTCAAAACTGTTCTCTAATAAAACAATAAGGTTAAATCCAGAATATGTTGATAATCACTAATTTTTATTTGCTAGAATTGTACTATGCCTCCTTGTAAATTGAGTTCTTTGTTGTCTGGTCAGATTTTCCACAGAAATTTGACAACTGCAATCCCAGAAGACCTGAGAGGAGAGAAGGGTTCTGCAGTTGATGATGAGGAGAGAATGGAGATCGAGTCTACAGAAATGGGAAGAGATGACATTTATGGTGAGCTAGTCTTCTTATCTTTACTGCAAGAAGGTTGTAGATGAATAGCATAAGTTGTCTGAAAAACGCACCGTTTCCTGAGTGTATATTATTCAAACATCTATCTATGAGTTTAGTCTTTTTGTCATCTTTGAAATGTTGCTGATTCTAAAAGATGTTCTTTTTGATGATCAATGTTGAAGACAAAATATATACATCATCTAATTCTAAAATATCCCCAGACGATGGTCCGATGTCGTTCGGCGGCCCTGCGTCGGTGTCCAGTCTGGGCAGCGTTCCGGAGCCCCTGCCGATGGGAGATGATGATGACGATGACTTGCCTGCAGACTTGCCGCCCAAGTCTGTAGAACCACCGGAGGTACCAGAGAGCAGGCCATCACCCCAACGAGAGGAACAGGTAGGGAGTAGCAAAGATTGTGGACAGTTTTCTTCACTTTTTGTTTTACTGTTTTTTTTTCTACTACAAGCACCGATAGTAACAAATTTCTACATTTTAAAAACTCATGTTGTTTTTAGCTCAATATGGAGTGGCTAAAGCTTTAATAGAGCAGAGGTATACAGTTTGTTCAGTTTCAAAAATGCACCAAAGAAAACATAAAAAAGCAAAGACAGTAGAATTTTTCTAGAATATATTCCACTTAAATGCCTTAAAGCTTAATTATGAGCAATGTGTATTTCATGCTTATGGATATATTGTATTTGCTTATGATTCCATATGCTTTATGTTCCCAGGCTGTTGTTAGTACAAAAAGTAAAGCTTCGCCGTCAAAGCGCAAGGTAGACAGAGGCTTGTGTTGGGTGGTGTGCAGTGTGTGAACAATAACACTAATTCAGTGTGCCTGTAGCCTGATAAAGTGTAGTAATACTGAGTGCTTGAAACTAAATGAAGGCTTATGAAGGAATGGTAATTGGTTTAATGTTCATTCTGGGGTGTCTAAAAATTATTCAAGATCACCTGAAAAGGAGAAGGGAGACTGGGTTCATTGGTAAGATGGTGGATCGTACATGTATGTCAACAGCATGTTGTGAAAAAAAGTTAATCCAGTACATCTGAACTCTTGGAACTTCAAACTAACTTTATTCTCTTTATATCATATATATCACCCCCTCTCTCATAAGGTTGGATTGAGTTTTATATTGGCTACAGAAGGAAGGTCGTAATGTGGTTATGCTGTTCAAAATGTATAATTTGATTCCTCACTATAACCATTAGTACTATGTCTGTAGATTGTAGTAGGTTTGCAGTGACATGATCCTTGAATGGTGTGACAGATCTTCTTCGCTTTTATGATTGTTCTTCGATGTTCTGTCAATGATTCCTGTCAAATGAGCCTGTTCGGAGTCTAAATTTCTGCCCTGTACATGTTAAGTTAAAACCATGACTCAGCTTACATGCTAAAAAGGTTATAAAGAAGAAGATTCCTCTGCATCCACTGCTAATTTACATTTCTTCCTTGTCGTTGTTGTTGTTTCAGAATGCCCTGGGAGGAGTAGAGGACCTGTTTGGGCAGGGAGCGGCCAGTCCTGCTGTGGACCTGCCCCCGATGTCACCAGCCAAAACACCCTCATCATCACCCAGAAAGGTAATCTTTTGGCTTTCTGTTGTGATATGACAGATAACTTTTTCTTCATCATTTGGAGAGGATGTTAAGCCATCAGTACATTGTTCTAGCCAGCTTCAAATTTTTTTCTGTCATTTCAATTTTGCTAGACGTAGCATCATGTTCAGCACTAGCAGGACGCAATCCTAGGGAGGTCTGCTCTCCCAGGAAAATTAGGGAAAACCTTGATCCTCTGAAACACTTTTCCTTTTTTGAGGGGCAAATTTTTCTGGTAAACTAAGCTTAGTTTTCTGACATCTCTTCCCATATCTTAGCATTTCTTGTCCGTCAAAGATGAAAAATGTGGGAAAATTTTTGTCTGTAATAAGCAGCAAAATTCCTTCGAATGACAGAAAGACATGCTGGCTGGAACACTGCCTCCGTATGTTGTCTCCTCACTAAATGTGGGGTCATGTGGCGCAACACCAGAGTGCTTGATTCGGAACCAAGAGGTCCCAGGTTTGAGTCCTGACATGCCACAGTACTGCACTTGCAATTTCAACAAATCAAATCCTCACTAAATAAAGAATGAAATGAAACAAATGTCCGCCACTCTTTTCTTTCCAGTCATACCGTCCGAGAGGCGGCGGTGGCGGTGACTCCTCGCACACGAACGAGACGGAAGAGGAACAGGAGGAACGTCGGCTGAACAAGCGCACCACGCAGATGCTCCACGTCATGGACCGTACCATGGGCTCCACGGGGTCCATCACCTTCTTTGAGATGACCAAGAAACACACCCGGAAACAGGCCGCGTCCAAGTTCTACACCCTCCTGGTCCTCAAGAAACAGACCGCCATCGAGGTCGAACAGAAGGAACATTTCAGTGACATCCTCATTACGAAGGGACCGAAGTTTAACAGTTTAGTCGGCGCGTAGTTATTGGTAGAGTGTAATCATGTATGTAGCTTATCTTGAAAGTTCATCTGTGTTGGTAGAAATCATCATGAAGCAAGTTTAAACTGTAAGTTCCAACACAATAAATTGGACTCACCCAAATGATTCACTGCTCGCGGAGTCACGTGTGTTATCTGCGTGACGTCACGGAAGCGGTGGATTGCTCATTCCTTGACAAAGACTGGAGTTGTACAGTCGAAAATTTGGGTGAGTCCAATTTCTTGTGTTGGAAATTACAGTTTAAACTTGCTTCATAATGTATGTAGCTGTATTTTCTTGAATTTTTCTCTTTTTTTGTTACAACTGTTGGGTACGTAAGTAAATATAGATGTTAGTTTATATTGAATATACTAGATGTTAGTTTATATTCTGCTCATGTCAGTCATCTTTGTTATGTATGCCTAGCTTGATGTGACGATGTTTCGTTTATTCTCTCAAATTCTAATTTTATTTTTTGGAAAAGGAAAAGGGTCCAAACTTTGACGACGATTCAAGTATGTAGTATTCAATCCAATCTGTATACCTGTATCTGTACTGTATGATTAAATATGTAACTTGTTGCTGACATAGTTCAAAGGTATTTTGTTCTAAGAAATATCTTTTTTTGCCTTTTGTAGTGTATTTGGTACATATCTTAGTTTCTTTAGAAGTACTATCATGTTTCTGGTAGAAAAAAAACAAGGTTAAAAAGAAAACAATGTTATTGTGAGCTGTTAACATACTCTTAAACATTCACCAAGAGAAATGTGGACCTAGCTAAGGGGACTTGGGAAATGTTCTTTATATTTTTAGCCGTACTGATATTTGTTAAGCAACTCAAAAGACTCGAAACATCATACAGTGGGAAGGGAGGACGGCATATTCATGTCTGTTTCTCACAAAACAAAAAAGGGAAAAACAAGAAAAAAATAAATCCAAGACTATGGGCTGAAATTGGATTGTACAGGAAGCATTTGTAGATGGCTATCGTAGAATAGGGTCTACTAGGGGATTAAAAAGGGGATTACAAAAATGTAAATATGTTTCTCAGAACCTCCTTCCAGAGCCTTGTCATAGATGATATACATGTAACACTGGACCAGGGATTTGCCTGAAGACTTAGTTTTACTTTCAGTCATCCAGCAGCACCATGATTTTATCTAATTTTAATATTTCCCATATCAGACCATGATCAGACATGTCAATTTTGTGAAAATGTGTGAATGATCTTTATTTTTGTTTACTAAGTATCTACCATTAGCAACAAGATGCCATCAGATGTGACACACTGGGCAAAACCCTGATACATACATACATATAAACATGACTTTTCTTCTTTTTCTCTTCACCCAGGACTAGTATAACCTTAACAATATCAGTAACTGTTGTACAATGGAGGTTTTTACTTTTTTTAATAAAATGGCTCTTTCAATGTGAATATACACCTCTTTTGACTCACGAATCTTTATTTTGAATAAGGTCTTTGAGATGTTAACTTTATGGTATGTGTGCTCCTTGATTCAATGATGTACACCACTCATTCAGAAACACAGACCAAGGGTAGGTTTGTTTCCATCTGTTTATGTCAAGTAAATCCTGTATATCAGTCAGAAATCAAGAAGAAACTCAACACATAGTTTGTAAGAGCAAAGATGAACATACTTTTACAGTAAAAATAGGATTTAAAAAAATGACATCTTCCTTCAACACAAATATATATTTCAACAGTAAATTCTTGAACAACTGTTCATCTGCAAACAAGCTTATTGGTGTTCTGGCACGGAAGACTAAGATACTGTCAATTTGATTTTTGCAATAGGAGGGGGAAACAGTACTTTTATAGTATTGTGTCATGAGGGATCACACAAAACTGCCACAAATATTTCCTAGCTAACAGTACATGCATTTTGAATCTCTGAGGAAGCCCTGTAGTACTTTTCACTGTTCAAATTTGCAGAAAAGGGGCAAATAATACAAGTCTAATTTATCTTTAGTGCATAGATATCCCCACATGGAGTTTTAGCATCTGGCCCTACGCCCCCAACTACCAACAACTGTCCATTTAGACTGCACGCTACGTGACCAGACCTCTTTAGCGAGTTTTTCTCGTTCCACGGCTTGAGGTGATACCAGACACCATGCTTGCCTCCAACGTCGAAGAGGAATATATCGTCGCAAACGGTATCCCTCGCGCGGGCGAAACATTCGCCACCGTAGAACACGACATATCGACCAATGGTAGAAGCCGTGTGGTGGTGGACTCCTTTTGGCACCTGTTTCTTGGCCACGCCCTGTTCTACTAACTTGGTGAAGCCGGCTTCCAAATCTGAACACCTGGAATCTTCGACCTGCAAAAGTACAATGAAGAATTTATAAACATGGCAGCTTATTCAAAATCGAAGGTTGCTTCCAGCTGTTTAATTTTCAACCATACAACAAAGCTTTAAGTCTGAGAAGCAAAATGCTCTGTGAAATTGTACATATAAATATAAAAGTTATGATTCTCATTTACTTTGTACATGCACTATTGCAGTAGTGTATACCTACCTGGATTTTTGCCAAAAACAACTGGATATGATTTGGGGAACGGTCAGACATTTCAGGTAGCATCCATTACCTTCCATCCATTAGATATTTTCCTCTCCGCTACCTTAATGTCTAACCTTCACCTACCTGTATTTTGCTTGGTTTCCAGGTTCCGATGATTTCGTAGTCCCCCGAGTCCCTTCCCCCGAACACCATCAGGGCACAGTTTTTCTCCCCAGGTACCTTAATGACGCTCGCCGTGTGCCCCGCTCGCGATGAGGCGTGATACGCCGCCTCCCGGTACTCGTAACGTCCTTTCTCCACGTCCACCTGTAGGAAAGGTGTAAAGACAGTACATGTAGTTTGTAGACGGTACCGGTAATCCGTTCTTTTACACAACCAAATATTCCTACCTTGCTTACATTTCGGTGTCTATCAGACACCTTCTTCAGAGCTTCTGACTGGAGTTCTGCTTCTTGCCGCTATATGTAGCCGATGTAGGTGGGGTTTTGTGGCAAGAACACAATCCCAAATATGGCTGAGTTTGTACCCCTCCTTGTCCCGCCATATAGCGGCGAGATGCAAAACTCCAGTCAGAAGCTTTAAGGAAGGTGTCTGATAGACACCGAAACGTAAGCAAGGTAGGAATACTAGTATTTGGTTGTGTAAGAGAAAACCCTTATATCCTAAACCTGATGAAACTATTTTTGGAGGTAAGCTGTTCCATAGTAGGAAAGGTGTGTAGGTATTGTGTGAGCGTGAGAGGCAACAACATCCTCTTCCCATCTTACACATTCTTACACACCTTGAGGTGAAACACACTCCCGAAGCGGCGCTGCATCCTAACTCCGCCCTCGCGCCCGACCACAAGCATCTCCGTGTCCGACAGCTTGGTACACGTGTGGCTGCTGAGTCCGACAGGAGGGTCATTCCCTGGGCCGGGTCGGAGGTCGGACCAGGTCAGGGAGTCCGTGTCGAGTACGGAAACTGCGGAGGTGCGCTGTTTACCGTCCCAGCCGCCGACAACGCAGACGTAGCGATCTGAGATGGTGACTGCAGCGTGATGACTTCTGGCAGGACCTTCGTTCTTACATCTGTGGAGCACAAGAATCGTGTTTTTATAATGGATACAAGATGCTTGATTACTGGTAATAATTTATCAACATAAATTTATGAGTAACTAGAAAGATAAACATAATGTTAACGTTAAGTAAGTTTAACATGGGATACTTTGTATCCCATATATAGCCTCTAGTAAAATTTTATACATGTAGATACAAGACTTGTAGTTAATAACTTGTCAACAAAAACTTATCAGCAACTAGAAAGTTAAACATAATGTATAACGTTATACTGTTAAGTTTAAGATGGGATACTTTGTAACCCATATATAGCCTCTACCAGACTTACTAAGTGTGGAAATAGTGGAAACAGGCCAAATGAACAGATAACATGCCAGGGAAGTTAGCTATTAAAAGGAGAACAGGGTGTCGCACAATTGGCAAACTGTTTTAAAATTTATTTACCACTTCCAAAGCCTGGTAGAGGCCACTAGTATATCACAAATCAGAAGTAATAGAGTAGAGTAGAGTAGAGTAGACTCTTCGGTCTGGTAGTAATGCTTTACCTGACTTTCTCCCACCCTGCTACCGGGTCAAACAGGACCACATCGTTGAGGGGTTCTTTTGACTGCGCCACGGAGGTGCCGCCAAAAATCACCAGCCGGCCACGAACCACGTTACAAGTGTGCGACACCCTAGCCGCTAGGGGGCAGCTGGACACCTGGGGGAGAGAGAGAGGAAGGGAGAGAGGGAGGGAGAGAGAAGAGA